TGCAAGAGGTGGATAATAGGGGATCGAAGATGGTTTTCGGTCCATCGAGCCTCCGGCTGCCAGTAAATGGTAAGCGATTCCAGTTTCGTGATCTTCTCGAGAATTCGCGGAAGTGATGAGTCTCTAAACACTTGCAGTTTGACCCACCATTTTAATTTCCGAATGTGGTCTGCGATCGCTGGTGTGGCGGAAAGCAGACGAAGGACGCCGTGGTGTTGGCCATGGGTAGTGACAGAGGCAAATATATGTTTACGGCAAAGGTCAAGGAAGACTTGACACACCACGGAGCACATTTTGAGCGACGAGAAACCCGGATCGTGTTGAGCAAGGGTATCGACAATGACTTCTATGATTTCAAAGGGAAGAGTGGGGTGGGAGGACATGGTACAATCGACGAGGACGAAAAGATGAATGACCGTATTATATAGACTGATTTTGTGATGTCTGCTCATCAAGGGCGGTGTTGTGGGTGAATACCATCGCCCACACGATGCGTCATCGATAATAGAGCTGTGCGCTCCAGAGAAGGCCGCCCGATTACGATGGGGCGCGGTGTCCCCGTTCTGCTTCATATTTTCCAGGACTCTTGGACAATGGCACCAACTCTCGAGGACCGGACGAAGGAAACGAACCAGCGATTCGCTAGTGAAGGGGGAGACTGAGTCAACCCGTGAAGCCCACGACAGCTTCCCTGTTCTCGTGTTTCCTAATCTTATATGTCATCCGCATAGACAACGGCATTCAACAATGCAGATAGGCGTTTCTACGTCCATGAAAGATTCTAGTCCACGCATGAACAGGGAAAACTCTGCGTAGGGACACCCTCCAGCGATTCGATCAATCAACAAATATGAAAACGGTATCCGCAGACCACGGAATGAAGAGGGATAAACGGTGGGGAAGCATGAAGGAGCCGTACAATATCATCCCAATGCTTTATTCATGCCCAGTTAATGGAACCCTCTTTTCTATCCAATCCCACGAACGAATGAACAAACAAAAAAAACCAAAAATTCTGCCCAAACTGACGTGTCCATGACAGGGCGCCCCTATCCAGGTAATGGACTTCGACTATAGATCAGGGACGTAGAATATGGTGCAGGTGCATTCACTATGCTGCGACATTCTTATGCAAACTGAAAAAAGTCATTCCATGACTGGACAGGGGGGAACTCTGCGTGTCCGGACATTGCTAGCGTGCTATTTGATCCAGATATGAAGCCGCTGAGGAAAAACAGGAAGATGGCTTTCGCGCATCGATTTTGGAATCTCGGGTAGTTGGGGAACAAGAACCGAAATACAAGCCTCCGATCCCTCGCCGAAGAATGCACGAAGTCTTCATGAAATGATTCAGCTGAGACAGCTTACGCACCTGATACAAGAACCACTCGAGGCTCCATGTTCCGCCACTATCGCGCTTGCAGTGCCAATCTTGAAGATTGGGTGATAAGTCCACAGAAATGAAGGGAGACAAGACGATAGCGATAGAGAGGGAACGTACCATCCTTCGGTACATTTGACCTGCCATCCACAAGTATTTAGACAGGTGGAAAAATCCCCTCATTTTACGCCAGCAACGACCTCCACATTCGAGGGGAAAGATGTACGTTCCTATGAAGTATGTAAATCGTCATTGATATTGCGATAGCAAAATCAACAAACTCGTCGATGTGGCAATTCGGCGCTAGGGGGCAAGTAGGATCGCGCCCCATGTCGATGGGGGACCGGCAGCGGCAGTCAAACACGACGCGTAAAGCGAAGAAGAGGAGCCACAATTCGAAGCTAGGAGTCGATTTGGCCTCGTCTCCATTTCAGTATGGCTCGCGATCATTGCAACGCCTTCTCTTCAATAACTCGTGAAAATAAAATAAAAAATAGAAAAAAGGAACATACATCGATAGGACCGATTGTGCTCGACCCGAATCCCAAGATCCACTTCCCCAAACACAGAAGCTCCGAAATTTCCACCGAGTCCATGCTGACCACCAGAACTACCCCAAGCACAATCGCCACCGACCCAACAAAGTAGCAGTGGCAGCGGCAGCGGCTCGTTCAAGTTAGATGTAAAAAGCGGGAGGAGCAACCTCGGACGAGAGGTCATCACTGGCTACAATGTTGGTGACAACGACGAGACACGCCTGCTCCTCTGTAGGCGAACAAGACGCAATAAAACGTGGACCTTGAGGTTCCTGCCTCACCGATGCCGGATCTTCGAGCCCCGACTCAAAATCCCCTGCGGCGGAAATACCGGTAGCGTTGTGCTGAGATATGGACGCCGACGATAGCCAAACCCAAAGCTACCTTGGAGGTCGGGGAGCATGTGGATCATCGCGATAAGGCGCCGGGGCGTCGAATGGTCATCCAAGTCTCCTCCAGCGAATCCAACTGCGACAAAGCTGATAACGTGTAGTCTAGGGAGCAGAAACAGAAACACTGGTTTACGAGAGGAAGCCTTCGATCTGCTGTTGACAAAGGCGGGTGCAAAAAGAGCGCAGGAAATCGAGAGGCAGGTAGAAAAGGTGACGACGATGCGAGGAGGAGCGGAGATAATGGGGAATCTGGTTGTCATGCACAACGTCAAGAGCGTTGGCGTTGGCGTTGTCGTCGACGCTGATGCTGAGCTATTATCTGCCCAGTTTCACATTCGCATTCACGTCCGCAGTGGGTGCATTGATTATCTGCAATTTATAGTTATCAGTCGCCGAATTAAACCACGAGCAAAGACGAGAAAGAACGCGTACGAGATCCAGAAACAAAGCTCAAGTACTAGTCCAGAAAATTAGTGGTCCTGATGATCATCCTCGCGCTCATTACCCAACCCGGCTTCTGGACCGTAATCCACAAGCTCAATCGTAAAAAATTAGTCCCGCATCCACTCCCTCAAGAATGCCACATTCAAATCGCGTGGAGAGTTACGGAGCGCGAGTCCCAAGTATTGCAACTCCCACTCTAACGTCCTCGTCTTGTGACCGAATGAGAAAACAAATGAGAGCTCAGCTCAAGCCGACGAGTCCACGAAAGAGGCCCTGCCCGACGTGTAGCCAAAAGTGGGCATCATTCACGTATAAAACCGCGCGTTGATTCAGCGATGTTATTACGCGAATGAAAGATTCCATGGACATGCGTGGGCAGGGGAAAACTCTGCGTTGAGCAACGATGTCAAAACGTCCTATCCATCCACAGCTCCGGACGCAGAGAAAAAAAAGACGATTTTGAACTTGGGCTATTTTGGAACGGGAATTCGCATGGCGGACCCGAGGCGTGACAAATTGAGGGATCCACGATAATTTACGCACCGATACCAGAGGTACTTGAGGGTTAATGTTCGACGTTCAGGTTTGGGGATTGCACATTTGGGTGTGATGTGGAAATATTGCCGATTCGTGAGAAGACTTCGCAGTGTTTGAATGGAAATTTGTAAAACACCATTCAAGAAACCATCAAAGAAGGAGCTAATATAAATCTCCCGCATATCCACTCGATAGTGGTCGAGAGTTCGTACATGTCAAGGCGTCCGATCTCATAAAGTGAGGGGTAGAGGACGAGGGTTTGACGTTTGACACTTGAATGAGTAAGTATTTGGGTCGCACCTTATAAATAAAGGAGAAAACCGAACAGGAAAGCCAGCCTCGTGGAGACAATCAAATTAAGCGATATACCAACCAACCAGGACGTATTACCCACGGCACGGGCACCACATCCAAGGCAAGAAAGTAGTCTTGTACCGCGATTACTTGCGGGCGAGTGTCGGGACGGGTGACTCGTGGGAAAGGACGATTATGTAACGAATGCCATCGATTTCGTTGCCTCCTTCCCATTTGCTTCCCATCCTGCAGCTGAAGATGTATTTGCAGCGCCCAGACATATTCAACTACCAGGCGGCTTTCCAGAATGCGCCAGGTAGACGCTGACAACATCGAAATGGACGATGTCTTGGAAAAAGGCGTTACGGTGTGGTAGTCCCACTTTCTACGAGGCCCAGCTATACCACCACGGCCGCCCCTGATCTAAAACGTAGGTCCCCCATCGACATGGAGCGCGATCCTATTTCCCCTACACCATATTGCCTATCGAGCTTCGTAACACCATACGGCTGTCTCCTAGAAGACGGCGTGCTTGGCGGGGTAAATTCAGGCGGCCCCTTTTTCTGGTACCTTCCCTCTCTATCGCCGTCTCCTTTATTTCTCTCAAATTCGCTTGAAAGTATCGCCGACTTTTTCAAGGTTCCGTAGGGTCTGAGATCTGAGCGGGGACCCTCAAGACGTTCTTGTACCAGGTGCGTAATTAGTCTCGAATGAAGCATTCGTGCATTCTTCGAAAGGTCCCGAGCCTTGCATATCGGTTCACGTTCCCAACTAGCCAGGTTCCAAAAATCAATCGGCATGAACCACGAGATTGTATCCTCCACTTTTTCTTTTACGATCGAACTTGTAGACTAGGGGGTTCCGGATGACAACAGAGTGCGTTCTTTCTTTATTGCCCTCCTTCACCACCGTTTATCCCCCTCCATTCCATGTGGTTGTCAGCCATTGTTGCTCGCGTCACGAATGAGGTCTTTACCCTGCCCCCACATTCCAGGTGGAATCCATATGGAATCCACCATCGTTCCAGATGGGTTCCACCATTCCATATGGAATATGTTTTGGGTGAAATCCCACTCATTTTGGTGTTTTTGTTCCACCTATATTCCATATGGAATGGTCAAATTCCATCTGGATTCCATCAGTCCACATGGAATATCCACATGGAATTTACATGGAAGATTCCACCATGATTCCAGTGGAATCCATCTAATTCCACATGGAATAATGGAATCCATATGGATTCCACTGGATTCCATATGGATTCCACTGGATTCCATGATTCCATGTGGAATTAGATGGATTCCAACTGGACTGCATCAGAATTACTTCATTATCAACGTTAGAATACATATACTTATGATGCATTATAAAATATTAACAGTACTTGTAGTGGCCTAAAAGGCACCAGAAAAAAAATGCCATGCACAGGAATTGAACCCGAGCCTGATATGCGGGACTAGCGCTCTAGCCACTTGAGCCAGCGCAGCTTGTACAGGTAACAAAATAATGACATGATATCCCACACCGGCGGCCCGGCCAGCACCCAAATCCGGAAACAGCGCCCAACAGTTGCCACGTCGCGTCCTTCCTGTCCACCACCACCAATGCTTCCCCCGCCGCTTCTTCCGCTCCCTCCCACTCTCGCAATGGCCGACAACAAACACTCGGGTGGTTACGGGGACCGAATGTGAGTACCCCGCTATCTCTATCCCCCTGTGCTTGCTCACCACCACGAAAGCGACAGAGCACGCTGACGCGACAACACGTCGACGCCGACGCGTCAATATGACGACGCGGCCTACCATGACAACACATCGACGCCGACGCGACAACACGACGATGCCGACGCGACAACACAACGACGCCGACGCGTCAATAGGACGACGCGGCCTACCACGGCAACACGACGACGCCGACGCAACACTACACGGCCTACCACGACACCAGGAGGTCGCGACTAATGTAACCTCACCCGCCGCATGCGAACGACGTGACAAAGCAAGGCAACGATGACAACCCGACCACGCGACGAGGCGATGAGGCGACGAGGAGCTCTGAAAGTGAGTACCCCACCGCCTGCACCTCCACACGGTTGCTGACCGCCCACCAAACCAACACAGATGAACGGCAGGGTTGACGACGCGGATTACAAGGCACCACGTCACCCACATCGTAACCCGCGTCGTCGACCACCACACGTATGTCCAATGGCGATGCAATGACCGGACCCACCATCACGAAACCAGGAGGTCGCGACCAACACGATGGACCGGAGCATGCGAAAGACACGACAAAGCAAACGACTCAATAACGCGGGGCAAAAACAATGACGCGACGAGGCGATGAGGACCGCGGAGCGTGGAAAGTAAGTACCCCACCCCCTGCCCCTTTAACACGGTTGCTGACCACCCACCAAGCCAACGAATCTCCCACCCCTCCCTCTCTTCTCCCCAGCCAATCCAGGGCGGTCCGGCAGCCCGCGGCCATCCCAATCGGGGATGCTGCGGTTCCCTGCTGCCACCTCACCTCTTGCTTCCCACCACCACAATCCCCACCACTGCGTCCCAGCCCACCACCACTTCCCACAGCACACCATGCCCCCCAAATCTCGCAAGAAGGCTCCCGCAGCCAAGAAAACCCCCGAATCCCCTCCAGCTGCCTCGAAGATTCGCAAACGGGGCCCGTCAAATGCGGACGAAACCGCCACCAAACCGAAAGCGAAGAAGGCGAAGGCTGTCGAGGAGGGAGGGGATGAAGAAGGAGGCACAGCGACAGCTGCAAAAAAAACGAGGGCCAAGAAACCCAGGTGTGTAACCCCCCGTTCATGTCAATTGCAGTGCTGACAGCTCAAGCACCTCCCGTAGAAAAACCAGCGCTATGAAGGACGCTGAGGCTGCTGCGGAGGATGACCCTGATGAATTAAAAAGGTACGTACTGTCCCTCCGCTTCCTTTTTAAACCAGAAAACTCACGAAATTTAGGACTGAGCGTATGCTTGTGGAGAGCGGCATATCGGTTGCTCCCCTTGAGCGGCCTCGTGCACCTGATGCCAAACACATGGCCCCGGCAGCTCCTGCTACCCGTAGCCGCATTCGTCGCATGGAGCCCCTTCCCAAGATGGTCGAAACAACAGCAACGGCAGGGGACGGTAGCTCACAAGAAGACGTGGACAAGGATGATGCAGATGACGGCGAGAGTGAGAAGCCAGACCAAGATGATGAGGTCGACGAGGATGAGAATGACGAGATCGATGAGGATGAGAATGATGAGATCAACGAGGAGGATGATGGTGAGATTGATGAGGAGGATGATGGTGAGATCGACGAGGAGGCGGATGGTGAGATTGCCGATGACGAGGGTGTCAAGAACACCACCCACCACAATGAGACAGCCAACGACGAAGCCAGCGACGACAGCAAAACCGAAAGCGAGGATGCTGATGCCATTGAGAACAACAACACCCAGTGTGTTAATGATGCAGACGGTGAGGTTTTCCCCGTTGTATCTGGCATTTCTGATGCCTCTGCAGTCACAGCCCCCACCCACAGCGGTCTTACTCCCATGCGAGGCAGTGTAGTCCCCACCGCCGCCTCTGTAGCCCTGACTCCGGTTCGTGCCTCTGCAGTCATGACTCCTGCCCGCGGTGGTATTACCCCAGCACGAGCCAGCGCTGCTCCCACTGTCCCTTCTATCGAAGGCGAAATTTCCTCCCTCTCCATCGGAAAAGACAGCAGCAAATCCACTGCTGATCTTGGACCTACTGGAGAAGGTTTTTTTATTCTTTTGCTTTTTCTTTCTCTATTTATTTTTATTCTAGTATTGGGTACCCCGCCAAAGGAACCTCTCCCTGGTGATGGTATTGAAATTTATTTAAATTTAAAGAGTTATTTTAACTTTTGGTTAGATATCGAGATGGAATCGCAAAGTCCTATTGCTTTACAGGGGGCATCTCGTACTACAGGGGGTATCCTCCGAGGCAATGCATATGGCAACAAACTCAACCATGCTGACTTCGAGCAGGTTGATGATTCGGCTGCAATTATGTTGATCCAGCCTAAACTCAGGTTCAAGGTTTTTGTGTATGTTGAGTATGGCGATGTGTTGGCGTTAAGCAGGGTTCCAGATTTCGAGTCTCAGATTCCGATTACTGTTTTTGTTTTGAACGACATATCTCTTTCTACTCAGCCATTGTTGAAGAAGGCTGCTCAATATCATGAATCTATTTCACGTGAGTTTTGTTTCCTTATAGCTATTACTGGTTTATTAAATTCTTTCCTTTATAGATTCCTTCGTCTTTTTCCATTCTGATCTTTCTGGCCATTGGTTATGGAATCTTGAAGGGATTTATTCTTTAGTGCTCGAAATGAATGAAGATGTGCCCCACAAGATCGGTGCTCAAGGCCTTGAATGTCATGTCCTTTTCGTGAGTCATTTGATAAAATTAGTGATGATATTTTTAATAATATTACTGTTAGCTTGTTCCAAATGTTGTTCCTTCTTCCACTTCCTCCATTTATGCACAGGCAGGACCATCATTTTCTATTAAGGATCATGCATCTTCTGAAGGGGGCTCACGTTATCACTCACGTCATGAATCACCGGCTGAGTCTGACTCTGAGCCATCGAAACCTAAGGAGCGTCAGCTTAATCAGAAGCATTTGAAAGGTCTTGCGAAGAACCAGATCGAGCTTGATCTGGATCTTTGCCAGAACATCGATAAACCTACACTCCAACTTGTGTATCAGCGCTATTCTGCAGTTAACGACATCAATCGCCAAGTTGACCAGATGATCAAGGATCGGACTTGGAAGGGTGTTACAATCACCAAGACTGATATCATCATGTTGTTTGTTGCCAAAACTACTTGGCACAGTTCCTATCGTGTCCAAATTCCTGCTGCAGAAAAATACGATGATATGCGGGCTTGGCTTACTGAGGCAGATGATGCTCCATCTGAGGCAGATCTCTGGGGTGATACCAAGGATCATCATACGTTGAAGGATCTAGATGCTTGGTTGAAGGAGAAGGCTGGAAAGAAAGTAAAGGTGGTTAAGAAAGTCGGAGGGAGAGCGATTACGAAAGGAAAGGCCACAGTGGAGGCTAGTAAGGAAACTGAAAAGGGAAAAGAGAAGGAGATAGAACCCAAAGCAGCTAGGAGTCACAAGAAGAAATCAACGACTGGGTAAGTAAGCCTTCTGATAAAAATATCAATTCTTTTGTACTTGTAAATCATCAATATCTGAACTTCTATTGTCTGATTATCAGATCTCAGCTATTTCTTGGGTGTCTCATATTGTTACAGATAATTGGCTCTATGCCATTGTTTGGGATGTTGATACTGTTTATATTTCTTTGTCCAGGTGTTCATGCAGCAGCCGCTCAAGGAGCATTCCCAGATATCGCATTTGACGTCTTCAGTGCTTTTGTGATGGATACATTCGGTCCAGATATTTCATTGAGCACAGTGTTGATGCTTTTATTCACACTGAATGAAAATACCGACCTTCTTAACATACATGCACGCAGTCAGCATCGACAGTACAACTATGAACAAATACGCAATTCAAGTACATGGATGAATGTGTTGTCCCACAGTATCCAACGGAATGTTACTAAGAACAGAATGGAATCTATATTCAAAACAGATGAAATACCAGAAGATCCATTAGGAGAGGAGGCAACAGAACTCATGAGCACCAAATTAAATGCTTTTGCAAATTTTCTAGGCTTAAATCCCTATAACTCAGATGGAATATTTGAGCAAAAACTCTATCCTATCTCAAATGAGTGCATTGAACCTATTCTGGTTCTTTGTCCAACATCTTATCAATGCATGGATGGTGAATGTGAACCTCGCAGTTTGCTAATGTTGACTCGTGCAAACCAAGTCCCAGAAGCAACATTGATTAAAGGAACAAAAATCTTTAAAAATGTTTCAGTATTGAGCGCGCATTGCCCCAAATGCAAAACCTGTTATTTTGTTGATCATGAAACCTATGGTCCATCAAATGATAGACAGAAAACATATCTCAATGATGCAGTCTATCTAAAAGTTGGACAAAAGACTTACGTTGATCGTGTTTTCTCAAATGCTGTCATCAATGGAATTTTTAGTTTTCATGCTTCTACTGCTGCATTGGCAGAATTCTGGACTAATAGCTATGGAAAAGCTCATGGAATCAAAGTTCCAAGACGCCAAATGTGGCAAACATTTATGCAGGAATCAATTCGTGGTGTTTCTCAGAAATTGGAGATAACATTTGAGGCACCTAATAATACTTCGATTTCTGAGTTAACACACCGAGCATTTGATTTATTGGGTGAGAATGGAGGAATAAGATTATCAGATGGACATGCATGCTCAGAGTGTACTCAAGACTACAAAGCTACTGCTGATTATGTTCCACAGAATGATGATCCTGCAGCTGTACTTGGGGTTGATAATGATGGGCCTGTTCCAGGTCTAGTGGCTGGAAATCCAGCTATTC